CCATAGCCAAGTGTTGTGGCAGGCACCTGTAGTCCCAGCTACTTGGGAGGCTGAGGCAAGAGAATTGCTTAATCCCAAGAGTTTGAGGTTGCTGAGAGCTTTGACTCCATAGCACTCTACAGAGGGTGACAAAATGAGACTCTATCTCAAAAAAAAAAAAAGAAAAGAAAAGAAAAAGAAGGAAAAGAAAAGTCCTACCTAACTTCTTCTCTCTAAAGTTTGCAGATCTGCCTTTCTAGCAAGGAGGCATATTGTTCTACGTAACATGTCTCGCATATCTCACACCTTAATCTTTCAGAACATGTTGTAGTTGGGTAACATCTCCCTTGAGAAAACGCCAACATTTTAGAAACACAAAAACTCATAGGCCCATCTAAGAGCAAGGCTTTTCAGTTCCCCAAACCGAAGCTGCTTTTCTATGGCTGAAACTCCAGCCTGAAGGGTTAATCAGATTCCCCAAATCAGTATCCCCAAAACAACCAGCCAAGAGTGTGTGTTGGTTCATTTCTGTGAAATGTGTTTCCCTAGTCACCTGGACTGGCCTGGGCTGCATTGTATCGGCCAGCAGCTGCACTGCACTCAAACTGACAGCTACATTAAACCTTGGAATTCTGAAGCAATAAAAAGTAAATTAACTCTTATTTTTTTCCTTTCCTGGTGGAGTAAGTACATGCATGTCTGTAGGGAAGCAAGTGAGCCTTGGTTCTGAGTGCACACCTCTAACCAGTCACTGCTGGTTTGTCCCAAGCTAGGATCTGGCATTCAGACTCCAGCCAGGGGTCTGCTTTCCTGGTGTGTGGTGTGTTCTGTGGGGTTGGGCCAATGGGTCACTCTGCAACTGCTGATCCCTTCTCACTAATCACATCACAGCTGCTGAGAGACTCCCCTGCCACTATTCTGGAAGCCATAAATGGGCTCATTGGACACAGTTTCATATTCTTCGGCTGCTTTGTGTCTGCTTGGTAAAGAGTGCACCCTAACTTTAGTAAGATTTTGTGGGCTCTGGGGCTTTTCCAAAAATATAAGTTGAACCAGAACACGCCAGAAGTGCTGAACCCACAGCACTCTAAAGGATCCATTTAGAATCAAAGGTGGTTTGAGATTATCTGAAAAACCTTTTGAAGGCCAGGGCAGGAGGATCACCTGAGCTCAAGAGTTCAAGACCAACCTAAATAAGAATGAGACCCCTGTCTCTACTAAAAAAAAAAAATTAACCCAGTGTTGTGGTGGGCACCTATAGTCTCAGCTACTTAGAAGCTGAAGCAGGAGGATCACTTGAACTTGGAGTCTGAAGTTGCTGTGCGCTGTGATAACACCCCAGCACTCTAGCCTAAGTAACAGTATAAGACTGTGTCTCAGGCAGTGCCTGTGGCTTAGTGGGTAGGGTGCCAGCTCCATATACTGAGGGTGGCGGGTTTGAACCCAGTCCCAGCCAAACTGCAAGAACAAAAAAAATAGCCGGGCATTGTGGCGGGCTACTTGGGAGGCTGAGGCAAGAGAATTACCTAAGCCCAGGAGTTGGAGGTTACTGTGAGCTGTGACGCTACAGCACTCTACTGAGGGCGACAAAGTGAGACTCTATCTCAAAAAACAAAAACAACCCCCAACCTTTTGGAGAGTTATTTCTCAAATATTTATAGGAAATTTGGAACTGTTTACAGCTTCTTATAGCCACCCAAATTTGATTTTGGGCTCCTCAGTTTAGGCCAACCTTGTATCTTCAGAGTCCAAGGGGCTGCTGTAGGGTGAAGGTTAGAAAGTGATCTGAGTTGGGATAGGGAAGTAAAGCAGGAAAAAGCTAAGCTTTTCCCCTTATACTCAGACAGGAAACCCTGTGTTCACCCACAGAACTGACATCCTAGCCCAGAGGCTTGATGAGGGTAAGCTGAGGTGATGTTGCCCAGGTTCCAGGCATTACCTCATCCCCTTGCACATATCTTAACTTTTGAGTTCAGACATCTCACCTAGTTTGTCAAAGCACCTCTTCCTTTTTAGTATTAGTTTCCTGACTCTTCCTCACTCCCCACACCCCGGTAGAGAGTCACTCTGTGGTCCCTGGGTACCTGGGTAGTTGTATTCATGTCTATGGTGTTTAGTGAGAGGAGGTAACTAATGATAGAAATGTGAATACAGAGATACCAGAAGAAAGTAGCTGTTCCCAACAGAGTTCAAATGTAAGACCAGTCTGAATTGACCAGGACAGAAGTGACCGTTCAATGAAGCATTTTGTGTATTCTTTTGGTTCTGTTCAGTCTAGCTTGGCCCTTGGACCACTTTTATTTATATTTCTGAGTTGGGAATTCAGGGTACTTCCTATGTCTTTTGGCACAAGCTGCTGTCTTACGAAGCAACACTGAGGTAGAGACTCTCATCCACCTTATTTTTGCAATGACTCTTAAGGTTTTGGCACAAAATGGATGGTAATGGGCAAAAGGCAGATGTGGGCAGGGGTCCCTATTGGTGGCCAGCAGTGTCTGGGAGGAGTCAGTTTTGGTTTATCTGAGCCTTAGGGGACAGGAGAGCATGGTAATGAGAACCACATGGTACCACATATTTCTTCATCTTACATCCAAGATGGTAGGAGTGGGAGGATAAGAGAGGGATGTAGGGCCTCCCACTGTGGCAGCCATGGGTAATTTTCTGCCTCCTCTCTCTGGCTGGGGAGATGCTGCTCCCCATACCACCCCCAACTGTGTCCTCAGCAGCCTTGACCTGCACAGCACCAACCAGTGCCCTCATGCCAAGAATTCAGCTGGGAGACTTTTCACCTTCTTCCTTCTCACTGTCGTCTTTCCTGTTTATTTTCCAAATTGCTGCTGTGCAGCCTAGCAGTGCCTGCTAGCCAAGGCTCACCAGCGCTGTGGGATCAGACTCAGGCAGTGGGCTCAAGTGGCCGGCAGGGCATTGAGGGAGGAAGCGGGGAACTGGAAGAGCCTCCCTGTGCGTCTCCCATGGGCAGCGCTAACCTCTGAGGCGGCCCTGAGCAGCCCTATCACATCCGGTGCTTGTCTCTGCAGCCAGGACCAGAGGATAAACTATCAGAGCTGTGGGGCAGTGCATCATTCCTCTTATTATTTTCTTCTCTGCAGATGGGGTCGTGGAAAGTTCAGTTCCTTTTAACCCTCGCAGTTCTGTTTATTCTACAGCTGGTAGCCTGAATGCCGCGTTTCCCATTACATCACAAAGGGGCTCAGGCAGATCTCTGCACAGAAACGTGTTGCAACTGTTTATTTTTTTCCATATTTAAACATTTCTGACAGCCAAACCCAGCTGAGCCAAAAGATGGAGCTTTGTGAATGAGTCTGGTTGTTGGTGTCTGCGCAGAGAAAGGCTTTAGAAAACTCTTATCCCTCCGGTGATTCTTCCCAAACTTGTTCTTTTTTCCTGGGTAAATCCTGTGAAGCAAGTTACTTCTGCAGTACACGTGTGTTGATTATGTACCGTTGTGTGATTAATGGGGCTGTGTTCCGGCTGGTTCCCAGGATACTCTTGAAAACAAGATGTTTCGTTTCATTGCCTTTTCCTAGTGCAGTGATTACAGTAAATAAACCAGTGCAGCCTCCTTCCACCTGGAGCCAGTCAGGGAGTTCCCATACCTTGACTCTGCTTTCTCCCCACATTACCTTCTGTGCCATGTCCTTCAAGTGCCCTCTTTTTGCCATTTTTTAGAGGACCTAGTCTCTAGGAGAAATAAACTGCTTTGATCTGAGTCCCCTCCCTAAGAATTCACGTGTAGTAACTCTACAGGGAGATTTCAGGACAATTCTTAAAACTCTCTGCCTATGTCTCTTGTCACTCCATCTCTTCAACCTAATTATGAAACTTTTCTTTGTAATTCCTCTATGCATCTTACTCCTTTTGGAGTAAAACTTAGCATCCTTGCCTATTCCAGACTCTCTGGTTAGGCACTCCTTTGGAGAAGAAAGCCAAGTCTATAAACTTGGCAGGCCTTGTATCTGACTGCGATTTGTGATGTCCCTGGGCAGGCAAAGGAAGGAAGGGGAAGGAAGGATGAGAAGGAAAGAAAGAGAGGCTTATGAACCCTTAGCACTCACCAAAGCAGGAGTCTGAACTGAATCGCAGTAGATTTTTGACAAATGACAGTAATAGATGAATGAACCCCCTGTTTTATAATTCTACTCCAGATTTTCAACTTGGGAGAGCCAAACTTACAGTGTCAAGATTTCTTCTCAGGTTCAGCCAGGATCTAGTGATGTGCAGTTAGGATGGTTTGTCCATCCTGGTTTGTCCAGAGGTAGGCAGTTCCTGGGGATGAGTTGACTTTCAGTGTTAAAACTGGGACAGTCCCAGACAAACCAGAATGACTGGTCACCCTATACCTAACCTTATATAAGTGAGAGAAAGGAGAAGGTGCAGGATGACCAAGATAGCACTAATAAAACACATACAAGCTTTACCTTCCTAGAAGGATCTTGACAGGCAAGATGTGAGGTTTTTGTTGGATCTGTATTTGATTGTTTGTTTGTTTTTCCTGCTTACATATAGAGAAGGGATTTCTAAAGCATTGTAGGGGAAAACCCTCCTGACTCTTTCTACACTATGATTGGACTAGCTGTGTCTGAAGGAGGAAAGGCTGGTGCTCATTTGCTGTCTGTGTGGCATGTATTTGGCTGGACAGAAATGGGGGAATTCTGGGAGCAGCCTCAGGCACTGGGTGTCTAGAGTGTTTGAATAAGTATCTCAGGCACACTGTCTGGAAAGGTGACAGGACCTGCATTAGGCAGCTGATTCTCTAAATTCTTTTTCCTTTCTGGTAGGGATTAAAATCTTCCTGTAATCAATTTGAACTTTGCATACACACACACCCGAATTGCTGTTATGGGCACAAGTTCATATTCTATCATTTGGGGTATGATTTCCTGGATGATGCCAGTCTAGGCAACATTTGCTGCAAGGACCTTCCTGCTCACAAGTGCTGAGAATACTTTTACTGGTCCCTCCTTAGAGCTACTCTTCTTTTCTTACTTTATTTCTCACAGGGTTGCTGTGGATGTGTGGTCGACGCTGGCTGATTTCTGTAACATACTGACAGCAGTGAATCAGTCTGAGGTGCCACTGTACAAGGACCCGGACGATGACCTCACCCTTCTTATCCTGGAAGAGGATCGCCTTCTCTCAGGCTTTGTCCCCTTGCTGGCTGCCCCTCAGGACCCCTGCTACGTGGAGAAAACCTCGGATAAGGTCAGCCCCAGGCCAAACATCCCTCCCCATTCACCCCTCCTCTTAATTCTTCAGACTTTTTTTATTCTTGGGAAGTTTTCTGTGCAAACGGAACACGATTAAGTCATTGAGAAGGGTGTTAAGGGAAAATATCGACCTTTTAGCCGCTGACATCCAACTCTGTGTCCTGAAAAAAAAAAGCCCTCTTGACTTCCTTTGGGGTGTGTGTGTGTGTGTGTGTGCGCTTGCTGGCATGTTGTATATACGATCATTTCCTCACTTGTTTAAATAGTGCAGCTTGTGTTGGCAGTGCTCTCACTCAGCTCCAAATGGTTTGCATCATGCTTAAAGCACCCTCCTTCCTCCCCCCTTCCTCTTTCCCCCCAGCCACAAACCTCTGCACTAGGAAAACAGCCAGGGCTTTTTCCCTTCTCTGAGGAGGAGAGTGATAAATAGGTGACTAGAGAGAAGCAGACACCGTGTGTTAACTTACAAAAAAAGCTTTTAGGAATATGAAGCATTCCCCGCTGCCTGGTTTCTATTTTCTTTCCTCTGAGGACTATGTTTTAAGCTGAACTTTTTTCTTGTCTGTCTGTTTATAGAAAACAAAGCCCGTTCCCTGTTGCTCTGGTGGGGACTGTGGAGCTCTTAGTCTCTGCTTAACAGTTGGGTCTCCAGCCAGGTGGAGAGTAGGGCAGTCAGTCTGCTTCACATTTCCCATGTAGCAGTTACTAAACTGGGGAAGTAGCAGCCACAGACCTGGGGAGCAGAGTCTCCTGTGCTGAGACAGGGGTACGCTGTGGCTGACTTCTGTGCAGAGTTGTTAGAGAGGCCTGTGGGGAGGAGTCCACAAATGTCTTTTCAGGAGGAAGTATTTTTACCTAGATGAAGTATATACTAGGGACATAGGTAGATGTTTATTAAAAAAGCCAGCAAAAATGGAATTCCAAATGTGACAAATATGAGCTATTTTGTATTGAATATAAAATCTTAAGTACTTGTTCTTGTATAAAAGAGTATTTGTTCATTATAATTTGGAAAATACAGACAAATAAAAAAAAAAAGAATTCATCCACAATCCCTCTACCCAGAGGTAACATCACTGTTATTTTCCTGATTATGTAATCAGTTTCTAGTATTGGTACATGCACTTTCATTTTCAGTAAAACTGGAGGTCATATTATATATGCTATTTATAATCTGCTTTTTTTTGCTTAATATTTATAATATGCATTTTTTGCTTAATATTTTATAAGTATTCTTGTATGGAATCGTAGTAGTTATTTTTTTTAAATATACCAAGATTTCTTTAACCAATCTTTGCTTTACTTTGCCAAGAAAATAGTCCCAATTTTTTCACTGTTATGAACAGTGAATCTGTTCCTTATAGCAGAATTTGAGCATATAGTTCCTTTGGTTAAATTTCTGCAAGTAGGTAAAGGTTCTAGACATTGACTTATCAAAAATTCACACTATTTGAATGCATGTAATGACTTCTGGATCTTGGGAATGAAAGACTTCTTTTTCCCAAGAGGAATATGTATTTTATGCCTTTCCAACAAAAACATGGATGAAACTTCCAGTCTCAGAGGGGATTTGTAGTATGGGAGGCAGAGGACAACTAACAAATTGTTTACACTTTGTGGAAGATGTTGAGTTAAAAGAGAAAGTGTATGACTACAGGTTGCACCAGAGGATCCTAGTACTTCTTTTGTGATCGATTACAAGTAGTCATGATTTCAGAGGGTACTTTTGGGTGTTGGCTGTTGAAGCTATCTTTTAGTGCAGGACAAGTGCTGATGAGAGTAGTTCTAACCAGCTTCAGACTTCCCAAGCCCCATCTTCATCAGTTCTCCCAGCTTTGGTGTCAGATACCAAGTATATGATCTGGCTCAAGAAGAACACAGAGCCAGCAGTCCAATGCTCAGCCTGTGGTAGTGATTCACAGACTACTCAGGAGGCAGTTGCAGTTCGCTGAGACTAAGGTAGGTCTGCATGTCAAGAACTGTGAAATACATATGTCCAATACAACATCACCAAATGCAAACTCCTGAATTCCACCCTCCCTTACCTCCAACCTGTTCTTTCTGCACTCTTCCCCATCTGGTAAATGACAGCTTTGATTTTCAGGTTGCTTATGTCAGAATTTTGGGTGTTATTCTTGGCTCTTTTTCTTACACTTCCATACCTAATCCATCACCAATTCATATCTTCCTTACCATCCAAATACACACACATATAACTCTGTTTTACCACTACACCCTAGTTCAGTTCATTGAAATGCCTTCTAACTGGTTTCTCTGGTTTCTGCTTTCTACTCCCAGCCTGTGTTCAGCACATCAACTAGTATGATCGTTTTAAAACACAGGTGTAATCATGTTAGTTCTCTGTTGAAAACCTGATGGCTGTTTCTCTTAGGGTAAAAGTCAGAGTTTTTATTTTTTTTTTTGAAAGAAACACAAATCTTTTTTTATTTTTATTTTTTAAATTTCAGATTAATATGAGGGTACAAACAATTAGGTTACAATATTTGCACTTGTTAGGTAAGGTCCCTGTTACAGTTGTTCCCTCTCCCAGGAGGTGTGCTGTATACCTTTGCATTGTGTGGGTTAGGTGAGAACACACCAATCTTCCTCCCTCCTTCCTGCTCCCCTCTTCCTCCCTTCTGTCCTCTCCCTCCTCCTTCAGTCCTCCCTTCTCCTTAAAGCCAGAGTTTTTTGTTTTTTTGTTTTTGTTGTTGTTGCAGTTTGGCTGGAGCTGGGTTTGAACCCACCACCCTAGGTATATGGGGCCAGCGCCCTACTCACTGAGCCACAGGTGCTGCCCAAAGCCAGAATTTTTAAACAATAGCCTACAGAGATCTGGCCCCATCCCTAACCCCCATACCCTCAGGTCTCTGACCTCAGCTTCTACTGCTCTTCTGCACCCAGTATGTTCTAGTCATGTTGACAGCCCAGCTGTTCCTCAAGCAAACCAAGCACTCATGCCTGAGGGTCTTTGCAGTTGATCTTCTCTTCTTTACCTGGAATGCTCTGTACACAGATGGCTGTGTGGCTTTCTCACACCTTTTAAATGTTACCTTGATAGAGAGATTTTCCCTGGCTACCTCACATAAAATAATAGTACTCCATTCCTTTTCCTTTTATTCTACTTTATTATTCTCTATCCACAGCAGGGAAAAATAACATCTATTGAGTATCTGTCATGTATCAGTCCCTGGTCTAGGTACTTGTGTACAGTATTTCATTATGTTCTCTCAATACCCTGTAGTGTAAGTATCAGTACCTTCATTTTGTAAAGGAGGAGAATGAGGCTCAAGAGAAGAGGGAAGAATGATGATAACATGTGGGTCATCTCTGTGGCCAGCCTAGAAGATTGGTAGGGCTGTGTCAGAGGGACTCTTGAGGAACTGTTGACCCTTTAGAAATCTGAAAAAGATAGACATTTTGTCCAACTTCTAGTGTTCATTGCTAAGAAATGTAAAATACTTAAATATCTTGTCAGTGGCAGCAACGAGCAATTTCTTTACTCGTCAAGATTAATCCCCTGTTTGGTCCAGCCCCGGCTACTTATTCTATAGATATTTACTGAGCATGTATTGCCCACATAACCTAGGAGATCCAGACATGTAAGGCAAATATTCTGCTAATTTGGGAGACAGTTTGTGGCATATATAAAGATGTATTTGCCAAGTTAATTTGTTAATTTGCGCCTGTCTGCAATGCTTTAAGAGCACTGATTGGACATTAACATACCATTGTATCTTTGAACTAGAAACATTGTCATCTGGTGTGTCTTTGCTATTCTATTCTTTTCTTTAGTAATTTCTGTTCTCCTAATATATTTGATCTCTATTCTTTGTCCTCCATGTCTCTTTTTCTGTCATCATTTCAGTCTCTTTTTGCCTTGCCTCTGCATTTTAGGAGGGCCCCTCGAGTTTCCCTTCTGTGTAATTGATTCAGTGATTCAATTTTTTTTTTTTTTTTTTTTTTGGTAGTAACAGAGTTTCACTTTATCAAGCCCTTGGTAGAGTGCTATGGCATCACACTGCTCACAGCAACCTCCAACTCCTGGGCTTAAGCGATTCTCTTGCCTCCTGAGTAGCTGGGACTATAGGTGCCCACCACAACGCCTGGCTATTTTTTTGTTGCAGTTCAGCCAGGGCTGGGTTTGAACCTGCCACCCTCCATACATGGGGCCAGCACCCTACCCACTGAGCCACAGGCGCCACCCCAATTTTTTTTTTTAAGAGGTGAGGTCTCACTCTTGCTTAAGATGCTCTCAAGCAATTCTCCTGCTGTGGCCTCTGGAGTGCTAGGATTATGGGCATGAGCTACCGTGCTTGGCCTGTTGATTGAAATTTTTCTAGTGTTGTTTCTGTGTTCACTGCTTCTGATTCAACTTTTCTCTGAAAAAAGGAAGATACTTGCTTCAAACAGATTACTGGTTACTTTCTTTGTCTGCAAATAGTTGGAATCCCTTTCTCAAGTCTAAAGCTAGGTAATGTAAGTTTGTACATATTGAGTATCCCTAACCTGTGAAAATTCAAAATCTGAAATGCTCCAAAAGCCAAAGCTTTTTGAGTGTCAAAATGACCCTCAAAGGAAATGCTCATTATAGCATTTCACATTTCATAGTTTTCAATTAGGGATTATCAGTGGTAAATACAAATGCACATATTCCAAAATCCGAATATTCTGATCCCAAGCATTTCAAATAAGGGATACTCAACCTATTTGTCAAGTCATCAGCCTAAGGAGAGTGGGGAGGAGACCCGGTGATACGCAGTGTCAGCAAATGAATTTATTTCCTGCATTTTCTATTCTATATATACTGGAGCTACTATACCAGTACTAGTTTTTTATTTCATCCATTCTTTATTTTGCATAAATGATATTACAATGTCTGATCTTGGAGCTGTAGCCCACCATGTGAAGAAGAAATTCTACCCACTGGTCACTTTTCATTTACTATGGCAATTTAGTTAAGGCTTTTCTGTGCTGTGAACTGCTGAACCATTGTGAGCAGTACTGATGTATAGCAGTGGGAAAACTTTCAGTTGGTGGTCTGCATTTGCCTTGTGATCTGTCCTCACCCTTTGTGGTAGGCAGAATAGCGGTCCCCTCTCCCCCTCCGCCAAGATGT